GTGTCATGTTTCACAGGACCAAACTCTAACCATGCCAACATACCAAGTTCTGAATATCAGCATACATTTACTGTCCTGTTTCACAGGACCAAGCTCTACCTATACCAGCATATATTTACTGTCCTGTTTCACAGGACCAAGCTCTATCTATACCAGCATATGATTAGTGTCCTGTTTCACAGGACCAAACTCTAACCATGCCAACATACCAAGCTCTGTATACCAGCATACATTTACTGTCCTGTTTCACAGGACCAAACTCTACCTATGCCAACATATGTTTTGTGTGACATTTCATGCATGTTTCAAATGACTAAGCTATATCTATACCAGTATATATTTCATGTCACATTTCACGGCGTATGTCATGTTTCATATCACAGAAATCTACCTATATCAGCTCACATATGTTTCATGCTGTCAACACGTGCTTTTTTATTATTAATAACAAGAAAATGGATTTCAGTTTGTATGAAATACTTGAACTATTACCTGAGGCTGATTCACTTCATAGAAGATTCAAGGTAAGTACCATCTAATCTATCCTTCAAAGAGGCAGTTAAATTACAACGTCATAATAATAATGAAAGATGACACAAGCATACACGTGCATAAAATAGTAATAAATACGTATAAAAAATTAGTTTCGAATTCGTGTGTTTTATAAATAATAGCAAGTGTAGTATTAACTTTAGTTTTCAGTGCAAAAATAATGTAGTTGCTTCAAATAGGTGTTCACTGTCATAATGGTAAACCTTGGGTGTGCATTAAATGCTGTTGTAACATTTACTTGTAATGGACAATCCACCTCTGTAGGAACAGCTCGGCAGAGACGATTCGACACTTGTTGTTTGGCATAGATCCTAAGTTAACTGCTGCCTTAAAAGAACAACTTGTAGCCTGTCACAACCCAGTTATTAACACAAACCAGATCTCTCAGACCTGATGAAGGCAAAAGTAGTGATACATCAATACTGAATAACTTCAACCAAAAAAAGACTCTCTGTGAAAAGAAAGACTGGGCTGCCAAACAGAACCTCGAAGTGCATGGTCTGTCTTTGTGCTTCGAGTGTGGTTACTGCTATACATCTCCATAATTACGTGTTTTGAACGTGTACGGGATATGATGTACTTTTTTATGTACAACAAATTAAAAAAAATCATAACCTAGAGATCTTAATCGTTTTTCAATCTGGAGAACAAATGTTTGGTATCCATCTTGCAAAAAAAATCTGTTAGAAGATGTTCTCTATTTTTATGGCTAAAAACATTCCCTGATTTTTACAAAAAAATCAAACTTTAGCAAATTTACCACAATTTGATTATAGTTGTTTGGAGAGGTAAAATGCTATAGTTTCTGTCTGAATAATTTTTACCTTCCTAATGTTTGTTTTCTTAAAGGAAAAACAACTTTATATGTACATAAGCGATGATTGTCTGTGGTTATTATGTTGTCTGTAGACACTGGTTTCTGGATTTGTATCGTTGTTCAACTTGTTAACAAACAGAAAAGTATATCTAAAGCAAAACAAAATTACTTAAAAGAGGGAGTATTGAGGAGTGAATTTGATCAGCAGCGCACTTACTAGTAAACAATTCAGGATTGCCAGTGTAGCTGTAAACATATCAATGTTGGTAACATGTACTTGTATGGAAGTTCTACTTATTCTACAAAGTGTAGGATTATAAAAAATCAAGAAGTACCACTTAAAAACTTTCTTCAATAGAATAGATAAACATATAAATCATAAGTACATAAAATAAGTTTACAGGCCAGAAGACTGTAAGGTGGAAAATGAAGACACCCCCCTAAAAGGTAGCAAAGATGAAGAGTAAGCATTCTTCTCATAATAGCTTACTTTTCTAAAAAAAGTTATAGGTCTGTTGCCTAGAGAGATAGGCAAGGAGCGTTTTTTTTTTTTGGTAAAAGAACATTTTCTTACATCTAGGTCCAGTTTCTAGGTAAGACAAAGAGTTATTTCTCTGTAAAGGAACATTTTCCTACATCTAGGTTATGTGTCAAGGTAAGACAAAGAGTTGTTTCTCTGTAAAGGAACATTCTCTTACATCTAGGTCCAGTTTCTAGGTAAGACAAAGAGTTGTTTCTCTGTAAAGGAACATTTTCCTACATCTAGGTTCAGTTTCAAGGTAAGACAAAGAGTTATTTCTCTGTAAAGGAAGATTCTCCTACATCTAGGTCCAGTTTCTAGGTAAGACAAAGAGTTATTTCTCTGTAAAGGAACATTCTCCTACATCTAGGTCCAGTGTCAAGGTAAGACAAAGAGTTATTTCTCTGTAAAGGAACATTTTCCTACATCTAGGTCCAGTTTCTAGGTAAGACAAAGAGTTATTTCTCTGTAAAGGAACATTTTTTACAGGAAAATGTTCCTTTACAGAGAAATAGCTCTTTGTCTTACCTTGACACTGGACCTAGATGTAGGACCTAGATGTAGGAAAATGTTCCTTTACAGAGAAATAGCTCTTTGTCTTACCTTGACACTGGACCTTGACATGTGTCAAGGTAAGACAAAGAGTTATTTCTCTGTAAAGGAACATTTTCCTATATCAAGGTCCAGTGTCAAGGTAAGATAGAGGAGTTTCATCTTTGTAAATGAACGTCTTCCTGTATCAAGGTCCAGTGTCAAGGTAAGACAAAGAGCTATTTCTCTGTAAATGAACGTCTTCCTGTATCCCTGGGAGGTTTAAGAATGTAATTTTCTACTTGTATAATTCTGTTCCATTAAATTTTCCTTTTCCTTTTGATATATTTTTAATGTGTTTAATTACTAAAATTAACATATATTGTTCTATGCATTTCACAATACAGGTTATATACATGTTTTGGTCAATAAATCTGAGTTTATAACACTGCTCAAAGTGCAGTTTAGCAGAAAACGACATTTGGAAAAAATACGTTTAGTGTTATTTAAAGTTGACACCTATTTATATAGATTTACTTTTATTATTTATTTTAAACAGAGAAAATCCTTATTCAGTGAAAACTGATGGTTAGATATTAATGAGAAACACACGTTTAAACAGAGCAGGACTCAATGAACGATAAGTAACTACAGCAAGCTATTTTTATATATTTTATGAATGATTCAAGCATATTGTTTCATTAAGGATGTAAAGGTCCATTTTGAAAGTGTAGCACGTAATGCTAAAATACTGGAGTAATTGTATCAGGTTAGGTTTCCTCTCTTGACACGTATAACTTAGTACATTTTCTTGGAAGCGATTTTAGATTATAAGGTTTGGCAACACAGTATTTCATAATCTTCGTGCTAATGTAATTCATAAAAACTACAACTTAATATATTACAAGAAACTGTTCCCTGTGTATATCCAAACTGCCTTTCTCAACCATCAACCTCGAAGAATATGCCAACTACAACTCGAAACCCAAACCTTTCTGGAGCTATATCTGGTAACATATTTCGATCGATATCAGACATTAGAGATGACACTTACCTGGGTGTGAACTGTAACTGGAAGTTCCGAATAAAATGGCAACCGTTTAGTCCATTGCACTAATTTAAACACTATATTGTCTCCTATTTGGCAGAGCTTTTCAGAAAGTTCAGATTTTACACTTAAAAGATCGTGTAAGTTGCTCAGTGTCGCAACATCTTCGAAGTCATCGCATTCAATCAACTGGGTTATCATGCTCAGAGCTTGTTCGACTGGCATTTGACGGTCACGAGAACTGGTGACGCAGTTTTCAAGGCGATGACGTAGGTGCATGACATCGGCAGGATTAGTGAGAGCTGTTTTGAGGATTTGGCCATTCGCCCACTCTTGTTGAGGATAGCGGGTTGGTGGTCTTTGTTGCTCTTGTTTAACTTGACCGTTCTTCTGCCCCTTCTTGTGCTTTTTGTATTTTACCTGACGATAAACAAAAAAAAAAACATGTTTAACAGAACCTATGGGGGGGGGGGGTTAGCATAATTTAAGTCTAGGCTGTCCTTGCTGCAAGATATGTACAGTGTAACAGTAATTGGACACGTTTTTAATGTTTGTTATTATTACTGTATAGATTTTTGATTTACCGAAGGTGCACCTTTAACTACTTGACGTTTTTCAAGGAAAAATTTTAATAGATGTGTCGTAAACGGTGAATTTCCTCGTGTCTCACCCAATCCCAAAAGCAGTTTCTATAATTTCTATAATCACTGAATCTGCATAAACAATATCTATCCAGTACAGTCACTTGGTCAAACTGATAGTAGTTGCTCTTTTCACTAATTACGGAGACTTGCGAGTTAAAAACGTTATATATTCCAATTGGTTATGTCAACGGTTTCAAAATTAATGCATTGCAACTAGTCATCAAACGATATTTAATATAAAGTCACTGGGTACAATAAATTTGAAAAACGTAATTAATTATATATGTTTTACTAGTCGTTGAAGGACTGGGGCTGGGCAAAGATTAATATTTAAGAACTGTGGATCAGAAGGTCCAAGGTTCGAGTCCACGATCTGCATTTTAACCTCAGCTGCGGGCATGTTATAGAAGTAACAGTCAATCCCTGTAGGCATTTGGTGCTGCTAACTAGTTTATTTCCTTCTTGTCAGCAATTCTAAATTACACGCAGTTGGGCCTGATCTTTGCAGAAAACAATGATGTACAATACTATCTGAAATATTGAGGTGTCTGGTTATGCAGAAAACAATGATGTACTATACTATCTGAAATATTGAGGTGTCTGGTTGTGTAGAAAACAATGATGTACTATACTATCTGAAATATTGAGGTGTCTGGTTGTGTAGAAAACAATGATGTACTATACTATCTGAAATACTGAGGTGTCTGGTTGTGTAGAAAACAATGATGTACTATACTATCTGAAATATTGAGGTATCTGATTATGTAGAAAATAAAAACGATCAAGAGAACAAACGTGCTCCACCAGCTAAAGTCAGCGAATTATCATTTTTCTATACTGTTAATCTTTTGTATGAACGTTTTGTTATATTTCCATATTCTAAAATAAATATAAATATACATAACAAAAACAACTTTCAAAAACGATGGTTCCACTGTGTGTATTCTATTCAGAAAAGCTTGTTGACTTTGAAAGATTTTTCTCAGAACATTGAGTAGTAGATTTAAGTTGGGTAAGTTATTTTCCCTGATTTAAGTTGGGTAAGCCTTCTCTCTATATTTAAGTTGGGTAAGTTATTTTCCCAGATTTAAGTTGGGTAAGCCTTCTCCCCAGATTTAAGTTGGGTAACTTATTTTTCCCATATTTAAGTTGGGTAAGCCTTCTCCCCAGATTTAAGTTGGGTAAGTTATTTTTCCCATATTTAAGTTGGGTAAGCCTTCTCCCCAGATTTAAGTTGGGTAAGTTATTTTTCCCAGATTTAAGTTGGGTAAGTTATTTTTCCCAGATTTAAGTTGGGTAAGTTATCCCCAGATTTAAGTTGGGTAAGTTATTTTCCCAGATTTACGTTGGGTAAGCCTTCTCCCCAGATTTAAGTTGGGTAAGTTATTTTCCCAGATTTAAGTTGGGTAAGCCTTCTCCCCAGATTTAAGTTGGGTAACTTATTTTTCTCAGATTTAAGTTGGGTAAGCCTTCTCCCTAGATTTAAGTTGGGTAAGTTATTTTCCAGATTTACGTTGGGTAAGCCTTCTCCCCAGATTTAAGTTGGGTAAGTTATTTTCCCAGATTTAAGTTGGGTAAGCATTCTCCCCAGATTTAAGTTGGGTAAGTTATTTTCCCAGATTTAAACTGCGAAAGTTTTCTCTCTGGATGAATAAAAATATGATATAATAGTTTGTGTCCAACTTGTATACATGTGTGTGTGTGTATATATATATATTCCTCAGCAAAACGGCACAAAGTATTTAAATATATATAATTTCTCTTTCCTGTTATTTTCATGCTATTATATTTAATATTAATTATAAAATCGCTACTTTTGTAAGAAAGGAAGCCATTTTGCACATCTAAATTGTTAATTTTTTGTTTTGTATGAGGTTAAGGTACAGATACCCACGGCTACTTTAGTGGTACCGCGGGGAAACCCAGGTTTTCCCGAGGTAAGCGATCGAACACACAAAGACTTCAGTCAACATATCATATTCGAGTGGTGAGTATACAGTACCGAATAAACAATTTCCGGTAGAAGTGTAGAGGACATTTATCCTCCCCGTTTAACATTATCAAAACATTTAGTTTTGTCTGTCAACTTTTAACTTTCCAAACTGATTAGGATGTTATTAGACGTCATACTTAGTAAGTGAATCACCAACGGTAGTAACCCCATCTACTGTAATCTCGGATACAGCGTTTGTCGAATTCGTTCATACAAATAACATTATGGTACAGACACAAGAGATGGCATAAAGTTTAAATTAAAATTCACATCAAGAAAACGTCATGTAATTCTAAAACGAATAACTACATAATATTTTCTTCTTCTTCTTAAGCTTTCTCATACGTGTAGTTCTAGAAACTCGCGTTACTGCGTTAACTTAAAGTTCGTGAAACGTGTAACTCTAAAACAGCGGTTATGTGGGGCTGAGCTCCTTTATCCAGACACGTTCTCGGCGTTTAAATAATACAGTAAACAAACACAGAAGGCAAATCTCTACAAACTTTTCAAAATAAATCACTGAAGGATATATTTGCACACTCAATTGAGAATATTTGTTTATCTATGTAGACTTATTAATACTGATAATTTTTAATACATCCTCGTTGATATGAAACTTTTCAGCTCTGAGATCCGTGTGGGAGAAGGCGAGCGATTAAAGCTGAGAATAATTATCTAATTAAAGACGTGGAATAAGCGTTTTCATTCCTAAAACACATGGTATAAATACAAAATGATTACGTAGTTTCTCAACACCTCTTACCAAACGTTTGCGTAACCCTCTCAAAACCAAACAGGCAGTAATTTTCTGTGTTTTACAACAGCAGTTGTGATAAATGTTTGTGTTTGTATACAGATGTATGTGTGTATGCGCGATGCTGTAGAACAGATCGGCAGAGAGAGAGACAAAGATATTTAAAATACTACGCCCCCCCCCCCAGTGGCACAGCGGTATGTCTGCGGACTTGCAACGCTGGAATCCGGGTTTCGATACCCGTGGTGGGCAGAGCACAGATAGCCCATTGTGTAGCTTTGTTCTTAATTACAAACAAACAGACATTTAAAATATTAAATAGAGATACAGATAGATAGATAACGGGTAGACAGACAGACAATGATTATGCATAGAATGATACATAGGTACACCACTGACGTCACACGGAAGCTTATCATTTATTTGGAACATAATTTTTGCCCCGATTCCTGGTACTCGTTTCTTTTACAATAAACCTGACTTTTATGGGCTGACACATCAACAGCTTCGTAAATTGAGCTAGCTGAACAACTTATTCTGTGAATTATACCGGTTTATTGAAAACGCAGGTTACCCGTGTACGTTGCTGGCACATATTTATAGCCATTGTCTTTTGTCTAAGTCCCTTCTTTTTTTTTGTCTCTCTGCGGATGTTAAAATATTAATACACGTAGTTGATTTTCGTAATAATTATTAAGTGACATGAAATCTAGTTTCAACTTTATTATATACTCGATTGAATGTTTTTATATATTTATTTTACACCTTTTATATAACTTCAATTATTAAGTGAATTAACTCGTACGTCGATCGTGTTTTTATAATTGTTATTTAAAGTATTCTTTTAAAATGTTCGTGTACTAATCTAGATACCTTATAGAGATTGTACACAGCACCCGAGTTTCTTCCACCTGGCATTCTGTCTTCTCGAACAGCTGAAAAGGAAACGAAAAGTATTTTCTTTTTCAAACTTGTACTATAAATTATAAGACACTGAATCAGAAGCTCGAAAAGCTTGTGACTTTTGTTAAACCAATAAAATGTTTATATATACTCTTGGTCAACTTAAAGTTCGAACGAAACTTAGAAAAAAAACACATTGTATTGGACATATTTAATTTCCGTAAAGATAGCTACAGGTTATCATAAATGCTTAAAAACATTTTGTTCCTCAAAGTTCTTGTATTTTTGACACCTGACCTCAATATTCGTAACCTTCATTTGGGAACAGCCATATTGGCTAACCCTTTAAACAGAGATGATCCTTTCAGACAGAAATAGCTCGTTAAAACCAGTTAATCTTCCGAAACCAAGATATAACCTCTTGAGCTCAAGCAGCTTATTTAGACCAAAAAATGCCTTGAGCCCAGACATCCCCTTGAAACTAGATAACTCTTTCAGTCCGGATAACATCTTGGGACCAAACAACCCTTTGAACCCAATCAACCCCTTTGAGACCAGATTATTATTTCTGTCTCTTGGGATCAGATAACCCTTTCAGACCATGTTAGCCGTCGGAACCAGATAACCATTCATATTCAACTAACCCATTCAAACCAACTAATTCATTGAAATCGGATAACGCTTTAAGCTTAGGAACACCTTCTGACCAGACGACTCTTCCAATCGAAGTAATCTCTTGGGATCAGATAACCCATTTAATCTCGATAATCCCTTTGGATCAGATAACCCTTTTAATCTAGATAACCCCTTTGGATCAGATAACCCTTTTAATCTCGATAACCCCTTTGGATCAGATAACCCTTTTAATCTCGATAACCCCTTTGGATCAGATATCCCTTCATGCCCAATTAGCCTCTTAAACATCAGAATACACTTTGAACCAAATAATTTTTTTCATAGTAAAGGTAACCAACACATTTGGACGAGGTAACTCTTTGAATTCAAGAGATTACTTAATTCATTAACCCTTTGATTCCTTGGAGCTAGGTAATCTTTGAACCTAGATATGATATTGAGACCAGGAGATATTTTTTATTAATAATATTTAACTGCTGTCTTTAACAGATTTATTCACTAATAATGTTTAATACTTATAGATAATAACAAACCACAAATAATATTAGCATCCAAACAACCTCACTGCTATGACCCAATAAGAGTTCGTGATAAAACAAATCCAAACCTAGCTGGCAATGACATTATGGTCTTGCATGATCATGCTAGAATTTCTGACCAATCAGAAATTCTTTATCTAACTAGGATAAACCAGTTTCAGCAGGGTTTTAATGTTATGGTTATTTGAACTCTGGACTTAAACAGTTATTTGTGATGGTATGGTTAGTTGGATACTAAGGGTTATTTGTGGTGTTGGCGTGGTTAGTTGGGTTCACAGGTTTATCTGTGGTGGTGTGTATACTTGGACACAATGGGTTATCCATGACGAAAGAGTTTGCTGAGCACAAAATATTACTTGGGTTAAGGGTTTATTTCTGGTCTTCAAGGATTACCTGGATTCCAAGAATTATTCAGTATGGCTGTGCCCAGTTCGGTTCGCCATCTTGAGGTCAAGGTCAAAGTGACCCTAGTCTTCGAGACCTAAACCTAACCTGATCAGGACAGCGTTTGGAAAAAGTGTTTTAATACTTTGATT